GAAATAGAAACAAATATAATGAAGTGGTCTGCAATGCCAAAGACCAGTACGATGTAGAATTTAGGCATAGGGTAACGTCGCAGCGCAATGTCAATCGGTATTTCTGGACGCTGGCCAAGCGGATTGAAAGGAACTTACAGTGTAAGTAGCCTTCCAGCACTTACGTACCCAGATGGAACGATTGTAACCGACTCAAAGGTTAAAGTGGAAGTGCTTGCCAAGATCTTTGCTGCCAACTCCACCTGACGCCCGAGCGCCGTCGATTGAAGGGTTCCCAACACTCTGCGGGCTGTAACAACATCAACGGGTGGTCTTGTCGCACGACATGGATGAGTAGCATAAATCGGGGGCTTGTGGCGTACCTCGAACAACACGGCTTGAATAGCCCCAGACAGTATGGTTTCCAATACCAGTGATCCACAGAGAACTCCTAGCTTATCTCACGCAATTGCACAGTAGAGACTCGTCCAGTCTTATGGTGAGGGTCATGACGTTGCTCTTTACATCACGAAAACTGTCGATAATCTGTAGCATGCTGCCCTCTTACGCAAACTTCCATCCTATGGCCTATCAGAGAAGCTTTGCAAATGGGTGGCTGACTTTCTCTCTGGCAGCAGGATATAGGTCGTAATTGACGGGTTCTCCTCTTCATCCCAGAACGTGAACGCAGGTGTTCCGTAGGGATCGCTCTTAGTTCCGACATTGTTCCTTACATATCCTTTCCTATACGACGAACCCAATCCACAGCTTTGCTGATGATAGTACTCTACATGCAGGAATTAAGTGACAATCCAACCTCTGCCGGTGAGATGGAGAAGACTAGCAGCGACTTCCTCTCTGACGAGAGACCTGGAGGGTTATGATTGCTTGGGAAGGCAACAATCTTGTTCAGTTTAATGCTTCCAAAACACAGTACCTTGAAGAAGAAGCGTAACCTAGCGCTCATTCGGTTTCGATGGATGCCATTCATTTCGGCTGGTCTGACTTGATCTGGCACGAACACAACTCTTCATTAGCGGCAGCTGCTAAGAACAAGCTAGGTTATTTATTTGTCGCCCCAACTACATTATCCATGCTCGATGCTTTTCAGAAGAGGCTGTAACGCTTCCTTTCCGCAAAAAGTCCAGAAAAGATGGAATGCAATGAAGATTCCAACTTTTCTGCACAATCACAGAAAGGGGGTTACCATTAGCTTCCGGTAGCTTAGTCAGTGGCATGAAAACATCTACAGGCGTGTAGCTATATGTCGACCATGGCATGGCTAGAGGATAGAAGAACAAACAGAACACAAAAATTTAACAGATTTTATTTAATAAAAAAAGCATTTTCATTACATTACAATTTTACAAAAATAACAAAATAAGTTTTACATCTTTGGCGCTGCTATAAAACTATCAACTTATCTTTCGCTGGTCCGTTTTGACTCGACTGAAGCCAGGATGGCCAGGTGCTTGAAGTGGAGGTCCCAGTTGTGAGGGGTGACCTCACATATAGTGACTTCATAACCAGTTGTAGGCGAAGTTAAAGGCGATGGCGCTGCCAAGGCACATGCATGGGTGAAAATATTGGCCAAGCAAGTCAAGACAGAAATTGAAAGAAATAAGAAGTCGGAAAAAAATTATGAGAGCAGACTATTAAAACAAATGCAATAATGCAAAAGCAAAATCACCAGATATTTCAAAATCTATAGCGAAACATGAAAGCAATGTCGCAACCAAGCTCAAGACTTAGCAATACGCACAAATGTGCACAAAGGCTGAAAGCATATATGAAAAATCTCAAGAAGGAATTGACAATTACTTCAAATCAAATTGAACTGATTGAATTGAACTGAGACATAAATTACTATATCAAAAGTGAGTTTTACTTATACGCCAGAGATTTCAAGAGTTTATCAATACGCACAGATTTGCAACTAGGCGGAAAGCATATATGACAAGTCTCAAGAAGAAAATAAAATCCATATGAAGAAAACACTTTCAATTAAAGAAACTGTGGATAGTACAAGACCCTCAAAGGCATACATCGCAACGAATCTATGTAACTATCCAGACTACAAAATACTGTCAAAGTTCAAAACCACTCAAAAATATGTAAACAAACATCAAAAGTTTGAACCAAAAATCAATGTAAGTCTGTGCTCTCGAAGAAAGTTATAATGAATTGAATAAGAGGATACTATCAATAGACTTCAAAAATAGAAGTACGTAAGTATGTAAAGGAAATTCAGAAAATATACGCATAAAAACATTATAAAATATTATACACAGTATTTGTCACATGATTTAGATCGGGAATGCAATTTAAATTTTGAGTACTCTCAGAAAAATGAAATATTCAAAAGATGAAGTATACACATTAAATTGGAATCAGAAAAATAATGATTACTTGTAAATTTTGTACATGGTGGACTGACATAATGGTTCAAAAGGTTGAAAGAACAACGATGACTAATGTCCAAAGTAAACATTCACCTGCCTTTTACAGGAAATTAGCTTAACAATTATCAAAGGAAATTCTTATCCGTTCGCATCTGTACTAGGAAATAAATATAGGAAAACCTACTCGCTCCAATGTACAGATCGAAAAACTCGCCCCCTTCGATTGAGCGGAAATATGAGTATTGGACAAATTGTAATATTTCAAAAGGTTGAAGGATCAACGATGTTAAATGTCCAAAGTAAACATTCAGCTGCCTCTTACAGCAAATAAGTTTATTCATTATCAAAGGAAATTCTTCTCCGTTCGCATCTGTACTAGGAAATAAATATAGGAAAACCTACTCGCTCCAATGTACAGATCGAAAAACTCGCCCCCTTCGATTGAGCGGCCCACGTTGGGCGCCAATTTATGTAACGCTTCCTTTCCGCAAAAAGTCCAGAAAAGATGGAATGCAATGAAGATTCCAACTTTTCTGCACAATCACAGAAAGGGGGTTACCATTAGCTTCCGGTAGCTCAGTCAGTGGCATGAAAACATCTACAGGCGTGTAGCTATATGTCGACAATGGCATGGCTAGAGGATAGAAGAACAAACAGAACACAAAAATTTAACAGATTTTATTTAATAAAAAAAGCATTTTCATTACATTACAATTTTACAAAAATAACAAAATAAGTTTTACATCTTTGGCGCTGCTATAAAACTATCAACTTATCTTTCGCTGGTCCATTTTGACTCGACTGAAGCCAGGATGGCCAGGTGCTTGAAGTGGAGGTCCCAGTTGTGAGGGGTGACCTCACATATAGTGGCTTCATAACCAGTTGTAGGCGAAGTTAAAGGCGATGGCGCTGCCAAGGCACATGCATGGGTGAAAATATTGGCCAAGCAAGGCAAAGTCAAAGACTAAGGCAAAGGGAAAGGGAAAGAGAAAGGGAAAGGGGGGTGGTCCCAATCTGAAAAAGAACCGTGTACATTAGCAACGTGCCCTAATGGCCAAGGCATTTCCAATCTCAGTCTGCCTCAAAAGAGAACCAACGATTTTCTAGGTTAGAATTACATTACATAGTTTGATAAAATCAAACCGAAAATTGGAAATGCCTTTCATAAAATAAAATCATGAAATAGCAAAAAAAAGCGTAAAACAAGATGGTGGTCATCAAAAATATCTCCACATGCTTCTGATATAAAAACACAAATATCGAATATTTATAATCAACGTACTTATAATTTCACTGAACTATGAATATATATATACGCACACAGAGGTAAAATCGATGTGGATCGATTTCCACCTCGATTTGATTAAAGTTATGGCGAATGATCGAAGTAGTCGAAAATGACGTTCGATGGATATTTTAAAATCGTACAAGAAATAAACCACTTAGATATCGATTATCTATAAACTACAGGCAGATCCAGCAATAAAACTGTATAGTATTATAAAACTCACCATTTTGTCCTATACGGACACACATTCTACAAAATTCTAGCACATGGTGCTATATGACCTTGTGCTACAGAGAAGAAAATTTTTAACTCTTGTTCGATCGGCGGCTCAAGTGAAAAGGAAGCGCGAGGAAGATCGCAGATCAGGAAGCGCTCCAAGCGGAAAATTTTCCAAGCAAAAAAGCTAGAGATGGGATTAATGAAATGATAATCGAGAAGTGATTTAATAAATACGATCGGACGGTGAAACCGTTACACTGCCTGTCCGACTTATCAATGACTCTGCTCTAACGGTAAGTCTGGGGACCCTTTCTCACCGGTGATCTAGCACTTTTCTACCGCTACGCCAATGGGCTTTGCTCCTCAGGACTGTCCTCCATGATGCCACGCCGTGATATGCCTACCAGACAGACCCAAACGTACCGTGTCGAACTTCGTACATCCAGAACTGGCCTATCAGACCGCTCTTTCGTCTCTAGGGTATAGATATTGTGGAACAATCTACATGAGGAGGCTTTTCCCAGTTCTACTAACCTTAGAGAGTTTAAAAATCGGGTTAACACATTTTCTTTAAGCTCCTCATAGCAGCCGCGGTGCTCTAGCATTTAGACTTTTCTGCGCAGCGATTCGGTGCAAAAAAACACCCATTTTGCAAAAAAAATAGGGCATTCTCAAATATGGACTAATACTGCTTCTAGTAATTATTCCTAAGATTTCATATTCCCCTAACTTCTTAGGGAAAAGGAATTTTCATGACCTACGGTAACAGTCAAAAGGTAGCAGTTTTGGTGCCTAAAGACACCGATGGACGCGTGCATAGTTGTAAGCATAAATGGTTGGCGGTGCCTCTGTACATATGCCCATTTTCACACTCGGATTAAAATTGAGCTGAATATGTATATAGTACTGATAGTCAGGGCTACCCAATAATAGTTAATCTGCAATTGAGAAATCTCGCCTACATGTATGGAGGAAAACCATTAACGACTTTAATTCATGATGTTGTTAAATCACAGTTTTGAAGACAATTGCATCAGAGAACCGAAAGCGTCTCAACACTCCTGTATACAACAGTCATACCTAATTCTAAAGAAAAACAACTTTTGCAGAAAATTACTCTTTATTCATGTTTTCATATTTATACAAGAGTAACTGCGCTACTGTGATTCATCATTATTTATCAAAATAGTCCTAAATCACATAGAAAACCTATGTAGAATTTATTTCTGTAAGTACTACAGTGTATCCATCAATCACATAACAGAAAAAACTGAAATGTTGAAAATGCCAAAGAGACACACACACCAAATTATGAAGGACTACTTAAAGGATTATGAGAACATGAAACCTGAAATTATATTTTTAAAACTATTTTATTACAACCAGATTCAGAAATTTTATTATTTACATGGTAGCAGTCATTGAAGACTATAAAAAGTACACATTAGCCAAATCAAAATAATAAAAAGATGCAAAATAAGCCAAAATGTTTTGGAGAAGAAAACATAAAAATACAAAATGTGAAGAATCAAGCTACATACAGGGTGTAAACGTTATTATAGTCATTATTTGAATGGGTGATAGAGGGGGTTAAAAGAAGCAAAAAGTTTCATATAACATGGGGGTCAAAATGGCATTTTTTAGAGAAAATCGACTTAAAGTAAAATAAATCTGACAATGCCGCAAAACTATGCAAAAGTATAACTAACCACTGTTACCGTTTGCGATGGATTCCCGGTTCAATAAGAGTGATGATGACCGACTCGCTGTTGTCAAGTGTGTTTTAAATTTTCGATTTAATGAAACTTACTTTCTTACTGACTACAAATTTTGGCTTAACTTAGAAAAACTTAATGTCATTTATTTGTTAATTGCCCAATTTAAAAACGTTTTAGATTAGATTAGTAAGATTGTGGTCAATATAAAACACTTAAAGTTGTAAACTATAAATCCATTTAGACAAAAATCTATTGACTTTTGGACCATGGGTCATATGAACTTTTTGACTTGTTTTGACCCCCCCCTATTACCCATTTCAATAATGACTACCATAACGTTTACATCCTGTATATCACAATTTTAACAAAATTGGAAAACAGATTCCTAGGGTTGTTATGTGATTGGTAGCTTCAATCATTTTAAGCACAATACAAAATTAGATAGTCATGCGTAATCACTTCACAGCATCCTTATATGTTAACGCTAACTTTATTTAACACTAAAGTCAATGGCTTGTGTATCAAAATGTGATATATCTCAAATAACGTTAACTTTAACGTGTATATACGGTGAGTGATTACCCTTACAACTGTCTGACATGTAGACATGGAACCTTTAGAACATTAAAGGATACATTTATCTGATCTTAGGCACAAGAACTAGATATATAGGAATCAAAGTGTTTAAAATGATAAATATATATTTGCGATTTTATTTTTACTTCCTAATCATAATATGGTAGTGCAATGAATTTAAAACGCAACACATGTAAAATTAGAATGTTCTTGATGAATATCTTGTAGCAAGAAGCTCTGTGATGAAGATTCAGAATAACTAATGGAGCCATTAGCATAATCCTAAACATTTATCTGGAAATGTCTGAATTGTGGCACAGGTCGGTAGCATGGCTCTCCAATAACATTCTGAATGAAATAGGCACACATTGCCAAGTTTTTCAATCAATTAATATGTGAAGTTATATGTTTTCACTGAAAAAATGGTGCGTAATAAAATTAATTAAACCACATGAATCAAAATAGTCAAAATTCAAGGTGAATGTTGTGTATCTCAATACACAGAATACTGAGTGTTAGTTCTTTTAATTTTAGAATATAAAATGATAGGAGGTTGTACACCTAACAAAAAAATTCATATTTACAATAAACTATAACGAAACGTGTAAACTACCTAATCTTAATATATAAAAAAATCCTATGAAGCTAACATCTCCGTGAAATCTTAGCCGATTTCGTACAGTAACATACATACAGTCAATATTTTAAAATAAAAATTAGTGTTTCATGGAAACGAAACATTTAGCCTCATACATATTTCGGTACGTAAATGGATTTTGTACATGAAGATCATATTGTGGAATAAATGCTCCTCAATCTATTTCTTGCTGGCATCACTTGCAGCAGCTTGTGCCGTACCGGCAGCCGTTTGAGCCTGAGCTTGCGCTTGTGCAGCGTACTGTTTCGCGTATTGCATCCAGGCTTCATACTGTGAAACGTCAAATATAAGTTAGGATTCTAGCACTGGCAAAACATGATGTCTAGATAAGAATAACGTCTTCTAGAACACTTGTGCGTTTCGTTGATAAGGCTCACAAAAGTAGCACGTTTAAAATGAATGAAATACAAGGTCTGTCGCAAAGTAAACAGGATACTAGCGTTGGATAGGTACATCTTTCATTGATGCCCTGTCACAATTTCATGACAATCGAACCACTTCAAGCGGAGCTATCGCGCTCAAATTGACTACCTTTTTACCATGGGTCGAAAAATGTGCATCGAACAAAGAGCCAATATCAAGTTCTGTGTTAAGCTTGGTAAAACAGTTACTGAAATCCATCAGATGTTGATGCCAGTGTATGGTGATTGTTTATCTCGTAGCCGGGTCCACGAGTGTTTTGCGCACTTTGAGGTACATAGGAATGAAATTAAATATCTCGTAAAGATTCAGTCCATCGCATTTTGACCAAGAATTTGGGCATGAGAAAGATGTGTTCACGATTTGGTCCGCACAAGCTCACGGATGACCAAAAACTGCTTCGAATTCAACATGCGAGAGACATCATTGAAGAGGCCAAAAAAGACAAAAACTTTCTGTACAACATTTGACTTTTGACGAAACGTTTTCAATACGATCCCGAAACCAAGCGTCAGCGTGCCGAGTAGAAGCTCCCAAGCGAGCCAGAATCGAAAAAAGCAGTTTGGAAAAGTCCAAAGTGAAGACCATGTCAATATATCATTTAGGGATTCCGTGAAGGATTTGGGTTTAGTGGTTGACTCTAAAGTTTAGAGAGCAACATTACTATGTGCCTAAGAAAAGCATATTCAATGTTAAAAATAATTTACCCCCATAGACATTACCTATCACAAAATACTAAAGCCACGCTCTGCGAAGCTTGAGTGTTGTCCCACTTCAACTTTGCTGATATGGTATATGGCCCATTTCTTGATAGTGTGGAACTAAAACGGGTTCAAAAAGCTCAGAATTCTTGTCCGAGACTGATATTTGGCATAAGGGGTAGACAAAGAGTATCACACAAACTACCTGAACTGGGATGGTTGAATATGGCTCAGAGGCGTACCTTGCACTCAACTTCCTTTTTTTACAAGATTATAAAATATAAAAGCCCCCCTTATCTTTACTTAAAAATTAGTTACTGGACTGATGTACATCATCTAAACATTAGATGGTTAAATTCACAATCAAGAATCATTTAAGAAATCATTCTCATATCAAATTGCCTTTTTGGTAAATAAATTCAAAATTAAAGATTTTTATCTCTCGGTAGCTACATTTAAGAGCAACCTTAAAAGTGATTTACTGTCTCAGATATCATAGAAAACATATCTCCTGCTCCCCCTTTTCTCTTCTCTTTCCCCTCGCTCACTCTGAATTTCCATTTCTCTACTTACTTCGCTATATTCCTTAATATCAAAACATAATTAATTATCAATGTCTTAATAGCCATTTGCATTATTATAGAATTGTTTAAATGTTTTTTTTTTGCTCTAGCAGCTGCTTCTTTAAGGGGCAAGCTGATGTGACCCTTTATTCTCTTAAGGCTTTTTGTTTGTAAACTTTTATATACTGTTTAATGAGGGTGATAAAAATATTATTATTATTATTATTATATTATTTTTTTCTACGATTCGAAGGGAATTATTCACAAATAATTCGTTCTACCGGGCCAAACGGTTAATGCTGTGTGTTTTATCTTGGTGTTATGAAGCATTTGCTGTCCCGTATTCGTGTTCGGCTAGAATATCACGAAGAAGGAAGCTGGCGCTTGTTGGACGATAATGCACCATCTCATCGATAGACGCTTGTGTCCGATTTTTTGACAAAAAATCAACACCAGATTCTCTTGATATGGCACCGCGTGTTCGGTAAACCATTCTGAATGACATACCCGTCAATGGTCATTCGAAAATCTTTTGGTCCGTGCAAATCGCTAAATTAACTCTGAAGAGACTATTCTGAATCAAATAAATTCGATTTTCCGAAACAAAACATGTTTGTTCATTTTTTTCTTTACCCTGTTTACTTTGCGACAGACCTTGTAATATATAAGTATAAAGAGAAATCACTGCTTAATGCATTATATGATACGCCAGGACACGTGAAGTCCAGAAGGCGTTAGTCCATTTGCAAACCTCTAAGAATGAGCCGATTTTTTTTACTATGAATGACACAACAATTTGGAAGATAGCAGATAAATTAGAAAAATACGTCTTAGATTAATGATGGCAGAACTATAAAAATGAAAATGCCTAAAAACTCGTAAATATCAAATATAGTCAGTATTTTCATTCAAAAGGTACTACTACTGGGCAGGTAAATAGGGCAGTATAAAAACTGAATATATTAAATAATGGAGGAGAGATCTTAAGACATGTTCTTGTCGGGATTATCAGGAAAATTTAACCAAAGGGTAGTTAACACACAACAGAATTCCAAACTATTTCTCTTGCACTAAGCAGGTGACCTGGCTATCACAGTTGCCCTGCCCATCCTGACCGTAGTGAATACCATATCTTATGTAATCATACAGAAATAACACATTTTAGCTAAAAATGATTACTTACACTACGTATACAAATATTTTGTGCATGCATAAAAAGTGTATGGACAATGCAATGCGGATGATAATTGAAAATAAAAGGTACAACTGGGCAGGTCAATCGGACAGCACAAGAAATACTAAGTCATCTTTGCATGAAACAGCTTAAACGCTGATATACCAAAAGAATATTTCTACGAGTTAATTTCGCCAAACCATTGATTGTCAAAGTTCTTCTATGAAGTCAAAGTTGACAAACATGACTTGATCATCTTTTGTAGATAGTTGTTTTGTGGTCAATTTATTGTTAAAGCTTGGTTCTTCCATTTTTTACCACATTCCTTAAATGGCGTGTTACCACAGGCAAACCATGACATTATCGCGCTACTACACAAATATAGTTAACTCAAGGAAATACCCCTAAACTAGTGAAGCATCGCGCGAATAAGCAAGCTAAACGAATTTACCTGTCCGGTATTCACTTACATTACTGGCCTGGCCATCCCAGTTGCCCTGCCCATATTGACCATAATAATTCCAATTACCGGCCGCCGCAGTTCCGGTGGCGCCAGAGGCGGCTGCCGCCCCCGCTGTCATACCGTATCCACCCGTCTGCGCACCTGACTGTCCAGTGGAGCCCGCCGTGCCATGTTGCTGCCCGTACTTCCACTGTTGCTGGGCACCGGCAGAACCTTGACCGCCCCAGCTTTGAGCGGCGTAGTTGCCGCCGTACTGTTGCTGATTCCAACCCCAGCTGCCCCCGCCGCCGCCTCCTTGCTGGCCGCTCCAGCCTCCAGATCCAGACCTACATCGAACAAGAAGTGTTAATCAATATAGGATTCATCTGGTTCTCTTTATAATGCGCTTACATTGTTACCATTCTTACTTGAATGCAAGTGTTACTTGATATTTCGCCTACGACTTCCGATCCAAAGTGGCAGAAATTATGTCAACTAAAGACACAGTTGCCAAGAAAATAAACCGTAAATTACGTGATTGCTCAATTGGTTTCTATTTCTTTGGAAAAAGAATGGGCGATTTACAGAAAAGCTTGATATTGTAGAATCAAGCTTCCTTAAATATGATATTATATTGCATGTTTTTGTTTTTATTAGTAGCAGCTGACATTACGTGAATCAACGATCATGACGTTTCATTCATTTTACAAATACCTTGAAACACATCTAGTAGTCTGGCCTAAAGACAGGTCAATTTCATAGAGGGAGGGAAGGTGCTTCCTCTTGAAGGTTGCATTTTCATCTGCTAGCATTAATAGTGCATTACATTCCCAGTCTGAGAAGTGGGCAATTATTGGGCGAGTTATTTTTTATCACGAGGCGAATAATGGCGTTCTCAAGCGAGGTAACAATTATTTTCACTATATACGATTTTATGAGGCTTGAATATTTTGGTTCATTTGTATCATTCTGATAACCTTTACATATATCTATGATCATGACGTCTCATATTCATACAGAGGGAGGTAAGGTGCTTCCGTGATCGCGTTTTCACTTTGCTAGCATTAATAGTGCACATCTTAGAGAACTGCGCCATTATTGGGGAGCACTTTTATAACGGCATTCTCATACGAGGAATGTATAGAACTTTTGTCACTACTACTATATATCACAAAATATTCGATTACACATCACATTATGACGTTTCTAACTTAACAAATACCTAAAAAGATGTAGTTACCTGGAGTCAAACTTACAAACTCGAATTAATGATTGCAAGAAATAGCTGATTTAGTTTGGACTGGTCCATCCAAGGAGAGAGGCACAAATGTTTTCTTTTTGCTAACATCAAAAAGCAGTTTGCAAACAGCTTGTTGATTGTTGGGGAATTCAAACTGGAGATCTAGATGAGGAGTTATACTTAAAATTACTTATTTCTCAGTCAATCTAAAATATTTTGAAATAAGTTTAGTTATCACACTGACACAATGAAATTGATGCGATACAATTTCAAATGACATTGCCTAGGCGTTTTTTTGTTTGTTTTCATTATTTACCTAGGAAGACAAATGCTACTTCGCAAAGAGCCATTGCTGTCAAAAATGGTAATTTATATGATTAGTAGTGACAAAAAACCGTTTTCCAAGATCTTCCCTATTTTTGAAATACTTAGGAAGGGTTTTCAAATACTTCGAAATACAAGGTTTAGTTGTCAAACTGACACAATGAAGTTAGCAAAATATAATTTTAAATATTTACCTAAACGTTTTTTATCACTATTTACTTAGGCAGCTACTTCTCAGTGGGAGTGATTTCCCATTGGTAGTAAAACATGCTTTATTGGCGCCATACACATATTTGAATGATTTTTCTCATGCTTACCATTTTTAGATTTACTCAGTCATCGTCCCATTGCAGTAAATGGCCAGAGGTTTGCAGTCAAGGGCAGACTTAATCTGTCTATAGTAGGGGAGCAGCAGCGGAGGTAGCAGCATTCATGTTTAGAAAGATGTTGGTATCGGGCAGGGAGGGGTAGCGGCGACTTTAAATTGATTCAGGTCTAGCATGGTTATTTTTACATCAAGGTATTGCAGTATAACAGTTTCCTTGAAAAAAAAAGGCAGACTTTGACGTATGGGGGGAAAGGGGGGATGGTGCGAGCCCCCTCTACTTATCAATCATGGGCTCTTCGTTTACTCCGTACCGTACTTTATATTTTTCCATTTTAATACCAATTAATTTATACACATATATAAGGAAAAATTCAATGCGGTCGCTTGAGGAGTTATGTTATCTACATGTCAGCCACAATGTAGAATCAACTTGAACGCAAGTAACAATAGTCACAATGTAAGCGCTCCTTATTATTAAGCAAATCGTAGACAGATAGCAGCAGTAGTGTCCACACACTGGGATTTGCATGAATTTCATTCATGTGAGAGCTATCTGGCACCCATACTACGCGTGGTAGCATACGAACTGTGAGGTCCTTATTCTAAAGACCAGGATCGCCGATGTGCACCAGAGGCAAGTAAACAGCTTCTGTCAGTCACCTATCATTTTCACCTGTAGCATCCACCTCGCTAAAGTTTTATCGCTTTCAAGTTTTTCATTAATTTAATCGGTTATAATGAGTAATGAGAGCAAGATATCGCCTGTGACAGGTTGAAGGATAAAAATACTTAAGTATCGGTATTTATGTTTATTCTGCTGATGCACGCGTCACACAACGAAAAAATTATACTCGGAGCGTTCATTACTGACATTGAATCCTATCACAAAACTGAAACGAAAATAAAAGTGTCGCCGCACACTTATCATTTCGCAATCTTTCCCCTCTGGCTTCCATATGAGCTTGTTCTAACATATTTTGTATTGCATATAATCACTTCAGTCTATCTTTCCGGAATGTATAATGGCCAGTTGTCAGTTCTGCATGGACGTGTCGATTCAATTAATTTTTTGTTAATTATCATGCATTACCGACGATACATGATCTGGTTACATTTCTTGTTGCGCAGAAAGATCAATTTAAGAAGTAATTAGTTAACGCAAAAACACCCTTTTCCGAAAAGGTATTGCCTAACGTAATTGCCGTTCGTTCCAGTCGAACTGTCGTGGCTACCATGCTGTACCAACATTTTATTACTTTGTTTTGTACTCACCGACATCAATTCTGTGAGAATCCCATTTTCACACAGGAAAGAATGCTCGTGTGGGTTGCAAATATGGCTCAGTGAAGTTGGTGCAACGCCCCAAAACTTAATATTTGTGAATTAATTTGAGGACTAATAAAAATCTTATTTCAAATATAATACTTTTGGTTTCTTCAAATGTTTATAGAAAGATAACAAAACCAACGCGGATATTTTTAAGGCGTTGTAATTCCGAATTTATCTTCTTTACAAAATTATTTATGTATAGCAAAATACATGATGACAACTTAAGTTGAATGATCTGTTTATTCGCTTCGATAAAATGAAGGTAGGCTTTGTAAAACAAATGATAACATTTTACGTTGCTAAGAAGCTGATTTTTGACGTTTAAATCAACTTTCAATGCATTGCAGTTGTTAACAATTAAAAATAGCTCGTGCTAAAGCTGTTTCTAACGAAATAAGAAAAGTGATTATTCACTTGCATTCAATGTTAACAAATCGAGGTTCGAAATATTACTAAATTGTACAAAACAATGGGAACTGTGGCGAAAAGGCGATTTAACGCAGTGGTGATTTGATGTTATTTGGTTTCGTTGATTTTTATTGATCGGCAGTTTATTTGAATTCGTAAGATATTTTTTCTTTGTTACAAAAAAATGTAATGTTTTAGGTAAATACTAAATAAAAATATCGTATGTTATCAGAAATATATATTTGGTTTTGACTAAAATGACAAATTTCATAAAAAACGTAGTTGGGCCAACTACACTGAGATAGAGCTCGTAGTATTACAGCATTAAGTTCTTTCCAACAGTTTTTGACACTCCCAAATGGTCAATTGTAATGGAAAAGATCTGTTCAGCTGGTAGCTTTTCCGCAGCATAGTAATTTGTTTGGATAACTGTATGTGACATCTCTGATGTTTAGAAACTCCTTGCTGGAAATTACTGATTGCGTTACTGAACTAATCCATGGAGCAGTCCATGGAATAATCCAGCTTACGGATTAAGAGCATGTTTTTTTTTGACCATACACACGTCGCATGCGGTGGTTAATACATTTAATTTTTTACTTGATTGCGAACGAAATCCATTTATTTGGGCCTATATGGAGGATGCTACACGTACAATATTTACTTTGATCCATCATAATTTATCATGAAATGAGGCATTGGATCGAACGTATAACATGAACGTCAATATTTTTTAATTTATAAGGTTGCTCAGAAATCCACTGCCACTGACAGATCCATCAAAACTTACTGGTATAGATCATAGTAAATAACAAACGTGAAGCATTCACCAATACCAAGGAGATGATGGAAAATGTTACTCAAGCTGATCTACTTTCAATAGATATAAACAGATGCATATGGCGTTCACGTGATCGTCTTAAATGTACACAATTTCCGGATTTAGGGATAGAGAAATATTAGGCGAATAAAATATATTGATATGGGAAACGATAAATAAAAATACAATATGGTGAATTAAAACTTTATGAAAGATACAGAATCACTTTTAGTCAATATTAACAGCACAATAAAACATTTAAAATCCACGTGACGTTACAAGTCTGAATGCAACTCCGTAGCGTCTGTCACCGCCTGCAAATTGACCAATAAAATTTGACTGTAAAATTATTTAAGTGTAAACTTAAATATGTTAATGCTACACATTTGATTGCTTCGAGAAAGGACATTATAACAGAGGATGCCGTAGTTATATCCATTTCTAGTTCTTTGTAGACAATATATAACTTATTCAAATTTCGAGTATTGCAGGTTTGTACAAACATGGAAAATCGAAAGATCAAGTGACTTTCTATGATAAATGAATGCATTTCCTAGAACTCAGCAGCTAACTTTTGTACCCGGTTGCACCGCCTTTCTCAAGTCTGTCGCTTAGGAAAAATGATAACGTCATCCTCAAATTAGGTTTCAGTTTGCACGACCCTGATTTGGTAAACATATATCTGACAACAGTGTATCTATAGTCACTTTAGGGGAATTATGCTGCAACAACAAACATCCTAATGCTAATTGATGCATTTGAGAACACTGTTTACCAGCAGACTGCGTGCAGGCATACGAGATCTGTAAATTAAGTGATGAGAATGATTTTTTTTCAATTAATTATAATTTATATATATATATATATATATATATATATATAATAACTTCTGATGTCACAGAGCGCTGGAGACGATTCTTCCACTCCTAGCAGCGCTGGAACTCAGGTACTGGAATAGCCTTCAGCTGGTACATACATTTGAATGTTTTCGACTGTGTCTCTTGAGGTGATTTTTCAACATTGGGAAAAAGTCACAAGGACTCAAATCAGGCGCACAAGGAGGCTGAGGAGCCACAGGAATGTTTTTCTGGACAAAACTTCGTTTATTGACATTGCTGCGTGACACGCAGCATTATCGTAATACAACACCCAGTTGTTTTTGATCTGATCAATGGTGGTGAGTAAAATTTAAGTCTTCCCCGATCATTCTGACTGTCAACTAACGATCTGTCGATATTTTATTCGGTTTTTGAAGACGAAGGCCTTTTGCTTCGTGGTTTATCTTTATCTTCAATAGACTCTCCTTTTTTAAAATGCCTTAAACCACCGAAAAAACTGGGCTCTTGAAAAAACACTATCTCCTTAGGCCTGCTGAAGTTCAGCATGAGTTTCCATTGTACTGTGACCAAGTTAGGATCAAACCCTAATATCACACTGATGCTCGGTATTGTCAGTCATTTTTAGAGCACAAAAGAAAAAAATGTTTCACAAAAAACGCTCTACGAGCAAAAAATTACTCGAGCGAGTTCAAACTTGATCACATGTTCCTCTGTCTCCCCTTCAAGCACGGCGCCACCGGTGTTGTCAGATCGAACGCTCGTTGCCAGTCTCATCACTTAATTTACAGACCTCGTAGGCATAAATCACGTTCAGCGCACGTAGACTTTAGTGTAGTAGACCACACCACTCACCTGTAACCGCCCGACCTGTGCCCGCCTCCGCTACCACCTCCGCCTTGTCGACCACCATAGCCACCGCCGCCACCATAACCGCCTCCGCCGTATCCTCCGCTACCGCCGTACCTATTGCGGTCCCAGCCACCGCCACCGCCTCCACCCCATCTGTCTCTGCCGCCCCCTTGGCGATCTCTGCGGTCCCATCCGCCGCCTCCACTGCGTTGCTGTTGGTAACCGCGGTGCTGCTGACCGCCCCAGCCGCGTTGATCGTAACGGTGTCCGCCACCCCCGCTACCCCAACTGCCGCCGCCCCAGCGGTTCTGGCGATAATCGTTCCCTGCAAAAAAGATGCGAGGATATAGTAAAACTGGTTGTGAGATGTTTGTGACCTAAGCCTAGCTTTAGTTTTTACGGTGGATAGCTTGCAATATTAAGCTGAGATTAAGGGCCCCGCAGACTGCTGACTTTCTATCGACCGATAGTTTGGTCGGCTTCTTAGTCAGTATGCATATTCGCACATTACAGCGATTCAGTATCGACCGATAAAAAAGTTTGATGGGCTTCCCCATTCCCTTCAAACTAAGTTGTCGGCCAACTATCTATCGGCCGATTGTTTAATTAGTGTTGGCTTAACTTCCACTTGCGCACAGATGACGATTGTTTAGTCACTTCGCTCCGAGCTTTGGCGTCGGACAGTCGTGTTTTATCAGCTAATCAATTAATTTGGAATGCAGTGTGTAAAATTTTCCACTAACTAATCTATCGCTGGGAATGGGATGCATCCAACAGTCTCTGAATGCCTTCTTGATTTTCCTTCTTTGTTGTATGAGAGCAATATTAATATTTCTGTACAATATTGTATTTATTTTCATTGTGCGACGGCTTACTTCAACAGTCAGATACAAACTAGTATCGTTCGGAATAGTCGGCGTTGTTTAGTTGACTCGGCCGATAAAAAGTGTAGTTTGCGGGGGCCCTTATTATTGAGCTGAGCTTATACGGGGTGGTCCAACGAAAAGGTTAGCATCCCCATTTGTGACTCTCCTGGTATATTTTGGGAAACACACTAGGATTCGACAATTTTGATTTCTAGTGGCGTCTTCTCATCTATAGCTGTACAATACAGGGTCATCCAAAAATAAGATATTGCGTTACACTGTGCATTTTCAAATGGAAACTCCATTTCCTTAATTTTTATATTTTCCATGAAATTTTTAGTAACCTTTGTATAATAAAGTTTATACCTATCTTCAATCGTTGTGAAGCTACTTGAGTTTATAATAAAATCCGACAACCTAATACTGATAATAATGGAATGCACGGCAAAAAATAATAATCATGGATACCAGCAGGAACATTTAGCATCAGTCAGTATGTCATAGAAAAACTTTGTCTTTCATTTCAAATGTCAAGTTGTGATAAATATTGAATAACGACTTATTCAATTCAAGAAAGGGTAGAAATAACAAAACTGCATTATCAAAATAGGAGCATTGCAGGAGCTACTGCCCGGTTGTTTAATGCGTTACATCCAGACAAAAATATTAACGATAAGTATGTGGCTAAGTTGATAAGAAAATTTAAAGAAACTGGATCTGTGTCTCATATTCGCCGTAATCGCCATCGAGAAAATCGACCAGTTAGAAATGAAGTCGCAGAAATAGCACGTGGCACTTGGCAACACCCAAAGCACTCGTGGACTGGCTACTTCAGGATTTACACGGTAAACAGTACAAATAATTTTGAAAAACAATAAATTTTACCTGTACAAGACAAAACTTGTCCATGAGCTTAATGAAGACGATTTTGATAGAAGGTTGGAGCTTTGCGAATTTATGTCCCAACGTTTAATCATCAATGCAAATCTGTTATTTAATATTTGTTTCTCGGACGAGTGTACGTTCTATTTACATGGTACTGTAAATAGTCATAATTGTTAATATTGGAATGACTCGAATCCACAATTGTTTCGAGAGGTACACTCTCAATATCCTGAAAAAAGGACAGTGGGCCGGCATTTTCGGAAATCATATTGTTAGGACTTTTTTTTATTCCTGGAAACTTGACGGGCGATACGTACTTAGACATAATTATAATGCAAATTACATTCAGTTCCAACAAGATGGTGCACCGCCGCACTATGTGGCTCCAGTACGACAGTTTTTGGACACACATTTCCCAAAACAGTGGATCGGCAGACAAGGCCCCATCGAGTAGCCTCCGACATATCTGTATCTAAGTCCTTTACATTACTTTCTTTGGGGGCATTTGTAAAGTAAAGTTTTTAGTTCAAGACAGATTCCATTAAAGATCTTGGTCAGAGGATTACGGCTGAATGTAGACAAATAACTCAAGACATGCTTGAAAATCTCTATTATTGCATGGAGGTAAATGGACACCACTTTCAGCACTATTAACCTACCTCTTTATGGCAAATTAATTTTTACTTCAACTTTAATGTAAGTTGTTTTTTTGTTTTTTTAATACTCGGAGGCTTGCTTATAATTTTAAAGTAAAGTATTGTTACTATGGGAACTATATTGATTATAATTTTAGCGATATAATCCCTTATTATCACAATTTCTAGAATTTTATTATAAACTCAAATAGCTTCACAACGATTGAAGATAGGTGTAAACTTTATTATTCAAAAGTTACAAAAAACTTCATGGAAAATCTAAAAATTAAAAAAAAATGGGGGTTTCTATTTTAAGATCTAAAGTGGAACGCAATATGTTATTTTGTTATTGCAAGGCTATAGAAATCAAAGTTGACGCGTCCGAGTGTTTTTACAAAAATATACTAGAAGAGTAACAAATAGAGGTGCGACCTTTTCGTTGGAGCACCCTGTATAACTAGCTAAACCGTGATCGGACAGTTTACTTATATCCCTTGAAACTGACATAAAAGGTTATTCAATAAAAATTCTCAAATAACCTGTTTTATTCCCTTTCAAGATCGACCCGCCCATACTGCAAAACCCGTTAGAAGATACACTAAAGTTGTGGAGGAAAAAAATAAGTTGCAGAAAAATGTGGGTTAGTCTGTCAGTTATGATTTGGATGTCAGTGTTTGACTGTTTCGTAAAAAATGGAAGGAGGGAACCATATACTCGTACAAGGTCTGGCACAAAGTAAACAGGACAAAGAAAAAATGAACAAACATTTTTTGTTTCGGAAAATCCAATTTATTTCATTCAAAATCGTCTCCTTCAGAGTTAATACAGCGATTTGCACGGACCAAACGATTTTCGTATGATTTTAGCTCACTGACCGGGATGTCCTTCAAAATGGTGGTCGACGCCTTTTAGATGGCCTCTACGTCTTCATACAGCTGTCCCTTCATGGCCAAATGTACGAGCCCCTTCCCACTTCAGTTGGCCCACTTCAAGATTTGTACCAAAATATGCCTTTATAAACTAAACATGTCGAAAATATTTACTTCTAAAACAATTTATTTTCTCTAAAACATTTCTCTCTAGACGTAAAAAATACATATTTGAAATCACTTAGACCTATAACTAATAGAACATCTGAACAAATAAACAATGTGCGAATAAATGCGCGAAGTTAACAAAGCAACAATTCTTTGGGGCATAGTGTTAACCAAGTTTTGGCAAAAATTTGGTGTAAAACAACCCCATATTTCTTGAAGCTTTTGTCTCAGTTCGGTGATTGTACGAACAGGATGTTGTCGTAGAACCTTTTTCATCTCGTGCCACAAAGTTTCAATAGGGGACAGATCTGGACTGCTAGAAACCCGTTTCAAAAGTGGTACATTATTTTCTTCCATCTATTTTATAGCCTTTTTTGAGGTATGGCACGCTGCACCATCTTGCTGAAACAGAAAATCTTGGCCGGATGTCAAAATTCTTCCATCACTGGTAAAAGCGAGTCTTCTAAAATTGCCTAATATTTGTTTGTATCCACATTTCCATCAATAAAATGAAGTTATGAAGTATGAAGTTAATGCATGTTGGAAATTTCACTTTTCTCTTCAGACAGTTAACATGCAATGCTTCATTTTTTTTTGCGAATAACTCTATTGCAACTGTCACCAACACAAACTTCGAATCGGGCCTCATCACTCCATTGTATTGCACACCATTGTTGAGGTGTCCATTGTCTATGTTCTTTAGCCCATCTAAGCCGATTTTTCTTTTGCATTGGAATTAATAGTGGATTTTCTTTGGCCTATGTACAAGTTGTGCAACTTTAGGGTTTTTACTTCATTTTTTTTATAAGAAAACTTACCTTGCAAGTGCTAAAACCCAGCTTGTGAGCCTCTTTATCAGTTGTGGACCTCGAAATTCTCCTTCCAACAGCGTCACTCCACAGAGCACTTAATTGTAAATAATTGGCACGCCTCTTTTTCACGATTATTCTTCTTAATGCTCTTCGGTCGGCATTTGTGATTACTTTTTTTCACATATCGTGGCTTAATATTAACTGAACCAGTTACGTTAAATCTTCTAACAATATTTCTCACACTGTACCGCGGTAAGTCTAACAAAGTTGCAATTTCCGAGTTTGATTTCCCAGAATTAAAAAATTGAATTATCAGTAACCGAATTTTCTCACTAATAATCTTTCCTATACCCGTTTTGAAAACCTTAGGCCCATATCGTCAGTCGTCCCTACAATTGTAGGGCGCCTTTACGGCCTCCTTGATTGTCATAGTTTTCTACTTCTCCGTGTCAGCGCTCTATTTTGAGGTTATGTCACAAACATCTATTTGCATCAAATTGTGCTTGCTTTTGAGTTATATCATATTTTATCAGCCTGAAATTTCCTACAATTTAAAAAGAAAACATATCTTCACAATAGGAGAGCGCTAACGCTGACACGGGATAAGTGTAATCTAGAAATTTTTGAAGGAGAGAAAGGAGTATGACAATCAAGGAGGCCATAAACGCGCCCTCACAATTGTAGGGCGCCTTTATGGCCTCCTTAATTGTCATAGTTTTATATTTTTCCATGTCAGTGCTCTATTTGGAGGTTATGTCACAAACATCTATTTGCATCAAATTGTGCTTGCTTTTGAGTTATATCATGTTTTATCATCCTGAAATTTCCTACAATTTAAAAGGAAAACGTATCTTCACAATAGGAGAGGGCTGACGCTGACACAGGACAAGTGTAATCTAGAAATTTTTGAAGGAGAGAAAGGAGTATGACAATCAAGGAGGCCATAAACGCGCCCTACAATTGTAGGGACGACTGACGATACGGGCCTTAACTACCCAAAACTAGTTTAAACGTATTCTGACAGCTGTGATTAATAAAAATAATTGTCATGGCTTTTATTTTTCACAGCCACCTATGCGTTATAGACTTATTTTGCATTGAAATGAAAATAGGTTGATATGCTGTAATTGCAACATGTGTTATTTTTATGCTGCAAATTTGATTAGGGAGTGATAAAGTTGGTGTTTTCTACTATACAGGGTGGCCAAACACGTGACGTCATAAAAAAAAAATTAGATTCCCCACATCGAGAGGAACCCAAATCACCCCCATATATATGGTCCGATTTTGTTTAGTTTAGGAGTTATGATTTTTTTTCGGATTTTTCGAGAATTTTTGAGTTCTGTGTTTATTTTTACCATAACTTCGTTAATAATTGTGATAAATGCCTGCTTTTTTCACGATTATGTAGCTAAGACCTAAGGCTTAACTATCATATAATCATTCAAGTCATGTAACTAATACTACTTTTTAATTTTTTTCAAAATCTTCGAACATAACCAAAAAGTAAAAAAGTGCAACAACTTTGAACGTTTATAAAAAATTGAAAAAACATGTTCTTACTATTCGTAAGTATCTTAAAAACTTCCTTACGGTATCAGCTATTTACCGTAAAAATTTCATCAACCTAGCTTTACTATATGCTACCGTAATTGTGGCTCAAATAGAACCGAACCCAAAATTGGATAACCCTCTGCTCAATAGAAATTGTTAGTTTCGGAAAAAAAATTTGCAAAAACCACAAAAACACGTTTGATTTTTACTGAACAGCAGATTATTATTCATTTATGTTATTTACAAGAGGTTTTCAAAATGTCTGCCTCTAACAGAAATGCACAGTGTACACCTACGTATGAAATTTTGTTTTAAATCTCTAAATGCTTGTGTGTTGTTTTTCAACACATGTGTCGCTTCTTGAATTTTGTTCCTCAATGAATTTTCATTTGCACATTGTTGGGCGAATGTTATGTCTTTAAAATATCCCCAAACAAAAAAATCAATGGGGTTGAGGTCAGGGGAGCGTGGAGGCCATCGTATCGGTCCGTTTCGTCCGATCCATCTGTCTGGGAACCTTTCGCTTAAGTAGTTTCGCACGATTCTGGAACACCATGTTCCGTCTGGCTTCCAGGCTTGAATCTTCCAGCAATAATGGTAGGCTATTTTCAAGGAAGCTTTTGTAGGCTACCGAATCCAACCTTGACGGCAGTTCAAATGGACCGATAAATTCACATGTTCACACTAAAACGGTGTTGAAATGTCGATGCATTATTATTATGGCGTTGCTCAAGGCAACGGCGCTTTAGCAGCTCAGCTGTACCGGGAACAACTTATACGCCGAGGCGGACCACAACCTGAGCATTACCCAGACCACCGTGTTTTTATTAACACACATAACACTTTCATAGCAGGCCGCATTCCAGGACGAGGAAGCAATGAAGGATATCCTACAGATGATCCGGATCGCAGAGAAGTAGTACTTGAAGAAATTAGCCGGAATCCCTCAACGAGTACGAGATCTATGGCACAAAACCTTAGAATACCACGAACATCGATACAAAATATTCTTCATGAAGAAGGTTATCATGCCTATCATGTTCAAAGAGTTCAAGCGTTGATGCCTTCAGATTACCAGTTAAGAGTGGATTTCTGCGAGACAATGCTGCGAAGACAACGAGAGGATCCCGATTTTTTTGATAAAATTTTATGGACTGACGAGTCACGTTTTGAAAGAACAGGGATATTCAATATCCATAATTTACATACTTGGGCTGTTGAAAACCCCCACCAGTCAAGGCCGTCGACATTTCAACACCGTTTTAGTGTGAACATGTGGTCAGGAATATTCAATATGGAATTTATCGGTCCATTTGAACTGCCGTCAAGGTTGGATTCGGTAGCCTACAAAAGCTTCCTTGAAAATAGCCTACCATTATTGCTGGAAGATTCAAGCCTGGAAGCCAGACGGAACATGGTGTTCCAGAATGATGGTGCACCATGCCACCACGCAACGATCGTGCGAAACTACTTAAACGAAAGGTTCCCAGACAGATGGATCGGACGAAACGGACCGATACGATGGCCTCCACGCTCCCCTGACCTCAACCCCATTGATTTTTTTGTTTGGGGATATTTTAAAGACATAACATTCGCCCAAGAATGTGCAAATGAAAATACATTGAGGAACAAAATTCAAGAAGCGACACATGTGTTGAAAAACAACACACAAGCATTTAGAGATTTAAAACAAAATTTCATACGTAGGTGTACACTGTGCATTTCTGTTAGAGGCAGACATGTTGAAAACCTCTTGTAAATAACATAAATGAATAATAATCTGCTGTTCAGTAAAAATCAAACGTGTTTTTGTGGTTTTTGCAAATTTTTTTTCCGAAACTAACAATTTCTATTGAGCAGAGGGTTATCCAATTTTGGGTTCGGTTCTATTTGAGCCACAATTACGGTAGCATGTAGTAAAGCTAGGTTGATGAAATTTTTACGGTGAATAGCTGATACCGTAAGGAAGTTTTTAAGATACTTACGAATAGTAAGAACATATTTTTTCAATTTTTTATAAACGTTCAAAGTTGTTGCACTTTTTTACTTTTTTGTTATGTTCGAAGATTTTGAAAAAAATTAAAAAGTAGTATTAGTTACATGACTTGAATGATTATATGATAGTTAAGCCTTAGGTCTTAGCTACATAATCGTGAAAAAAGCAGGCATTTATCACAATTATTAACGAAGTTATGGTAAAAATAAACACAGAACTCAAAAATTCTCGAAAAATCCGAAAAAAAATCATAACTCCTAAACTAAACAAAATCGGACCATATATATGGGGGTGATTTGGGTTCCTCTCGATGTGGGGAATCTAATTTTTTTTTTATGACGTCACGTGTTTGGCCACCCTGTATATTATCAAAATATTCATTTTTAATATTTTAAACCTATAACACCCTGCTACATTTTTATTATTTGTTTTTGATAAGAAAAAAAACTAAGATTTCAATAGTTGGGCCAACTGAAGTGGGAAGGGGCTCGTAGTTTACCGAACAGAAAATAGTCACATGGTGCCTTATCAGCATTGTCATCTCTTTGGACTTTTCCAAACGGATTTTTTTCGTATTTGGCTCGCTTGGGTGCTTCCATTCGGCACTTTGACACTTGGTTTCGGGATCGTATTGAAAACACCACGTTTCGTCAATAGTCACAATGTTGTACAGAAAGTTTTTGCCTTTTTTGGCCTATTTAATGATTCCTCTCGATTCTTGAATCAATTTTTAGTCATCCGTAAACACACCTTTCTCATGCCCAAATTCTTGGCCAAAATGCGATGTATTGAATCTTTAGATATATTAATTACATTCCTATGTATCTCCATGACGATTTTGGATCATTTTCGATAAATTTCGATGGTTTCTGGCATAATCACAAATTTTGGCTGGTTAAAATGTTCGTCATCTTCCAGCGACTTGCGACCCTCTTTGAACCGTGTAAACCACTCGTTGACTCGGCTACGAGATACACAAACATCACCATACACGTGAATCAACATCTAAGGCCCGTATCGTCAGTCGTCCCTACAATTGTAGGGCGCGTTTATGGCCTCCTTGATTGTCATACTCCTTTCTCTCCTTCAAAAATTTCTAGATTACACTTGTCCCGTGCCAGCGTCAGCGCTCTCCTATTGTAAAGATATGTGTTCTTTTTAAATTATAATAATTAATAATATATAACTCAAAAGCAAGCACAAGTTGATGCAAATAGATGTTTGTGACATAACCTCAAAATAGAGCGCTGACACGGAGAAGTAGAAAACTATGACAATCAAGGAGGCCATAAAGGCGCCCTACAATTGTAGGGATGACTGACGATACGGGCCTAATGCGTTTCGGTAAATGTTTTACCAAGCACAGATCTTAATATTAGCTCTTTGATCGATGCTCATTTTGAAGTAGTTCGATTTTCATAAAATATTGACAAAGCGTCAATGAAAGATGTACCTATCCAAAACTAGTATCCGATAATAGATGGCGCTACTTGTATCGGATATCTTTCAACAGTCCTGTTTACTTTGCGACAGACCTTGTATAATATGTTAGTCACTTACTTCTGTTTTGGTATCCCTTGTCGTTCCCGTATCTATCTCTGTCTCTCCTTTCTGCACCATAACCGGCATCTTTGCCAGCTTTATTGTACTGCTTCACGACCTCCTTTGCTTCTTCTTCATCGACACCGGCATATATCACTTCGTCCAACCAATCACACTTATCCGGCAATACCATCCCCGCTAAAAGGCACATTTTTCAATCAAAATATGGGTGTAATTATTTTCTCACTTATACCAACACTCAATTGTTGAAATGTAAACATTTTGATAGTGGAAAACAGGTTTTTAAACTGACGTATGCGTGTCAAAAAATATCCTATATTTTTTAGCGCCTCAAGTATATATCATTGGCAATGCATCTTATATTGAAAATAAAAACTAAATAGAATAAGAGTGTAATTATCCCTTGTTTTCTCCATTCTTCGTCGAGATACAAATAGGCCATTCATCCTGCCTCCAGACTATTCGGTGTTTCAGAGTCAAATGCGAGTAGAAAAAGTAATCCAAGATTAAAACACTGATCCAAGACAAGCTCCTTCTCAAACATAGGAAACTGTAAAAATCATTTAACGGACAGCTTTTTCAAGTTCTGAGAATAGTACAAAGAATTACAGCTTGAAGTGCGAACATATTTATGCTCCAGAATTAAATGATGCTTATGTATAAGAGAGAGAGAGAGAGATCTGCGCCATCGAGCACAGATTCTTTGTAAATACATAGATGCAATGTATTTCGCCGATAAATATAAGCTGTGCACTCAGATAAGGTGTTAAGTATGCCTAGATATTAGGTCACAGTCCACTTGTAGAGTACATACATACTTTTTTGTTGTCAATAGTTATGCATACATGCTATAATCCAGAGGCGATAACAGATTCCAACCATCTAGAGTAGATCCAATTCTCTGCATCCATACTGCATCATGTCATGTTCGCTCGATAATTGTGTCCGATTCAGATGGTCCATTTTACCTGTTGTGAACCTTCAAGTAAAATAAGTAGTAGAAGTAAAACAGAAAATCCCTGACTCCAGATCTAGGCGTATCTGACACCTCCGAGTACGCAACATTGTATTTATCAACTACTCAAGTGAGTGACTACGTTAAATTCAGGCAGGTAGGACTCAATCTAAGCGATTTACCAGCTCTTTACATCGCATTCGCTACACTTATGCAGAGGACAAGATGGCCGATAGCTTTTAGTCAAAATCAATAATATATACATCTTTCCCCCTAACTTGGTCTCTCTATAATACTATCTTCAGAACTCTTTTTATCATTAAATGTTGATTAGTTTACATTGTGTTTCGAGTTATTTCTTAAGCCGAATCAATTTCAAATTTCAATATAGTATGATTGCTGAAAATATAGAATTATGACATGCACACGGCAGAATACAAGTACAATATGAAAAAAACAAGTTATAAAACTTTGTTTAAATCGATTGCGTTCACCAAACAGCAGCTTGATAATTTTAATAAATATCTTTCCAGGGTGGAAGGTTTTTTAGACTCTATGTACTACAAAAAGTGCTTAATAATATCAGTTAGTATGGCTATGTCCAGTGCAATCCTAAACTTGTCACAAAAATGGCACATCGCTTTAGAACATAGGGCTATATAAAAATGTTACATCAAATTGTTCTTTTGTTCTGTTAGAGCTCTGATCAGCATAAATAAATAAGTGCCAAACGATATAACCTGTTTTGTTGATTTGGTTTCAGAATTTGGAGATCAGTTGAACCCAGATCAAGCACCATTTGGGAGAAAATTTGTTGTTGGTTCGCTTTTTCGCCACGATTTTGATTGCTGTCAATGATCTTGTCTTATCATTTACATAGTGCTAAAAGCATAAGAGCTAATTTTCGCAGTCAGTCTAACTATTCTTGGTGTTGGAGAAAACTGCGGTGATAACGAAACTGTAAGACAACTCTACTTTTTCATTTTTCAATCACCAGAGGATCGTTCATCCACGTTCTTCGCCATAAATATTTTGACAACCATCTTTCAAACTCGTACCCTTTTGGAAATAATTCAATCTTGCCTTGTTTTGTCCGTGCACTTCACAAAGTTGATAGTGAATTTCAATTGCTTTTAAGGATTCAGAAATAAGAAAACTAATAACTTCATATGTCAAAACGATGTAATGATTCCGTGGCGACTGTGACAATGACAGATGTAGATAAACAGCGTGCGTGCGCCAAACATCGACTGGAGCACTCCAGCGGAAGAACTTATAAACTTACAAAATACCACTGATCAGGCAATGGAAAACATTCAAAATATGATGTCCAGTCCTCACAACCAATCACCGAATAAACACTGAACGCTGAAGGGATTCTTGAACCAATAAGAAGCCAATATATTTTAGTAACATTGCAAATGTCAGTTAGTTTCCTGGACGTTTTGCTTTAAAAGTGTTTTTTATGAATAGTCAATTTTACACTATTTCTCAAGCACTGTTTTTACATAATACAAAACTCATATTACATAATTACTGCAACTTGTGCACAAATGATTATAAGCTCTGATGGCGAACGCAACTGTAAAGTAATACATAGTTACAATAGTCTTTGAATAATATATACCTTTCATTTCAAGAACAGTGCTATCAGGAACATCTTTACTACCGACGGCGGCCTCTTGCAGGGCCTGTCTGCGAGCTTGCTCTTCATCCCCCAATACAATAACGACTGCCTTTCGTTTGAAGCCCTCGAACGGCTGCAATTTGCGCCGTTGGGCGGACGGGTACACATTTGTCTGCCACAACGCTCAATGTTATCTCTCTCATTTGTCATCAATATCATCTATATTTTTCGCTTGTCTTTTCATATATCAACATAATAACTATACGCTAATAAGCTATGCTAACGCTTCTCACAGGTCGCTACATTAAAGAGAATCATATCACATACCCAGATAATACAATGCATAATATCACTGCCTTCAATACTTCGTCCAAATTACCTTGGTTATATCAGATTCTTTTTAATAGGTAAAAATGCATTCAATACCATATTCTCTAATACCCAATTATGTCACCCAAAATAGGTGGATTATTCATGAATGACGCCGGTGAATGACATATTCTCAAAGTATGAATATCAGAAGATTTCAAGATGCAGACTTTGTTGATGATCTTGAATTTTTCCAGCTTATCCTTTCAAGTCAAGTGTTACATGTATCTATACTATGGATTTAAAAATGTTCTGAGACATCGACATTCCGACTCTGAGCCGTGTTCCTGCGAAAATCTCCGTAACCAGTGGCACAGCTGTTAGTGGAGTATTATATATTTTAATTGAGTGCCTTGGTTTCCTTTACATATACATATAAACAAAACAAAATGAAAGTGTATCTTGCAATACGATCGCTATTCAGATATAGTTCAAATTTGAAAAAAAAAGCGATATTAAGGGATGACCAAAAATTTAAAAATTCAAACTACAACATAGTCCAATAAGACTGTTCAGTTTCTGCTTGACGCCTGACCGGTAATGACCCAAAATATTTTAATAAATTCCTACTACTTGATGGCATTCTTCATCACGAACGATCAATAATATGAAATAGCCATTTGTTAGATTAAAACTGCTGCATTTTTTCAATGCGCGTTCAAAAAAAAAACAACAAATTGGGAGCAAGAGCATGACAGTTGATAACGTACAAGACCTGCTGTGAACTAGACATTTCAGAACGCTTCACTTACCGTTATTTTTTTTAGATTTGTCCATTTATACCAACGGTTTTCCAACAATCTTTTATTTCAATCGGAACGAAATCTTAAAACTTTTTTCAGGATGCGTCAATGAAATGCCAAAGTGTACGTTTTTATCACTATGAAGTTCTCGAAGGAGCAACGTTTGGAAATTATTAAAAATTACTACCGAAATTCGGAGTCTAATTTTTGGTAATGAAAATCGTCCCACCATGCAGGCCATGTTTGTTATAGTAAATAAATTGAAGTAAAATTATCCACTATTGAGCCAGAGTTTCTTGATTATTTGATGTGATGAAACTTCGATTGGGCTCTGTAAAAGTATTTAGAAAATCTTGAATGTCTTCGAAAAGCACACCCACATATACTTCTAGATGCTCCATGCACCCACAAAAAGTGACCGTGCGGTAAGGATTTCATGCCGGAGGTGTGATTGGGTCATATTTTTTAGTCGATGAAAATGATCACCATGTTATGGTACGAGGGTGGTCTCAAAATTTTCCGACCTAACAAAGATACAAGACATTTTCTGATTTTTTTTTGTTTTTCGACATTTCCTTATTATTAAATAAATAGTTGTTCACGAAGGTAATTGCCTCTTCATTTGACGAAAATATGCCTGTCTGGTGAGTAAGGCGGATGGTCAAGCAGTTAAAACCGTAATTCGTGGATTGAGACGGTGCGTTGTCTTGGTGAAACAGGATTTTCTTTTTCTGTAAATGAGGCCGCTTTTCCGCAAGCTCCAGCTTGTCAAATAATGAGACGTAGTATGCTCCTGTAATGGTTTTTCCATTTTGAAGATAATCGATTAAAACAACTCCATGACTATTCCAAAAAAACAGTAGGAGCCGGTTCCCCACTTGCAGTCCACTGTTTGGACTATATTTTTGTTTCGGGCGTATAATGACGTATCCAAGTTTCACATACAGTAATTAATCGGCGCCAAAACTCGAGTTTATTGCGCCTAAACTGTGCTAACAGAGCGAAACGTGATCAAACGCGGCACCCAACGCGCGGACAGCCTTATCATGCCTAAATGTTAATTTAATATGTGACAAACACGTTCTTTTGACATGTTCAAAACCTCGGATAGCTCTCTCACTTTAATTTGGAGGTCGTCTAGCACCATTTGGTGAACTTTGGCGATGTTTTCGTCGGTAGTTGCAGGTCCCGAACCTTCATCATCTCCCAAGCTCTTACGGCCACATTTAAATTAGGCTGCCCAAAATTTCAGTGCGGTATATGATGGTGCAGAGTCCCCATACGCAGAATCCAACCCATCTTTGATTTGCGTACGCGTATTGCCTTTCAAAAACAAATATTTAATAAAAGCTCGATACTCGATTTTGTCCATGTTCACAAAAACACTCACATCAACTTTCTCAAACGACTGTAACAACTGCGCGTCCAAAACACCCTAAACTTTGGTGAGTAACTGGCAACAGATGAACAACGAAATTCACCAGATTTTATTTACCAGTACTGCCATCTTCACGTTGAGATCGGAAACTATTCAGACCACCCTCGCAAATGCAGGTCGCTATTATGGAACATTGGAAGATTATTTTTGCTCAGATGGAGATGGACATATTGACATGTTAATCCAAGAATATGGTGCTATATACCGCACAGCTGGCCAAACAAATGATCCAAGGGAAAGTTCGGTAAACGTGTAATTTCGAGAAATGGTCAGATCGAATGGCCACATCGCTCATGCGATTAACTCCACTGAATCACTTTTGATGGGGTTACTTACAGCCGTTAGTTTATTATGTCAATAAATCAACAAAGTTAGAGGAGCTCAGGAACAATATCGAACGCGAAACTGCCAACGTTCAGGCCAATGTGTGTGGAAGAGTGATGAAAAGTTAGCTCCAAATAATCTTGGAGACGCTACAATGTAACGATAATACATGGGCAGTGTGGCAGTGCAACAAAGCAAATTTTACGCTTGTTAAAGAACGGGTTGTTCCATAACTTGTTTCACAACCAATTTACATCATTGTACTATCCTAGAAGTGCTTCCTTCAGTTGAAATGTAAGGTAAAAACAAAGTTCAGATCGCCCCGCACCTCGCCATTCAAATATGTGATTATGTTATAAGCTAGCTTTGTGACTAAGAATGATTGTTTCCTCAGGCGATCTATACTAAAATTCAGCCCAAGTGAGACCACAACATCGCAAACTCGAAGCGTGATCAGCGCGTGATCGATGTTCCCGCAGAGGGTCTCATTATAGTTCAGGCATTTTACGGTTTGAAGTTGTAGTTTGAAGCGCTTGCTTTTTCAACTAATAGTTTCATTTCGTAGCTTTTATTTTTCTTTTTTTAAACTTTCCGCCCCTCATATTGATGCTTTTGTTAAATACAATGTCCTGAAGTGGCTCCAATATAAAACTCCATGAATTTGGAAAACATGCAGTTTCGAACATTTTTCAAGACCTAGTTAGACTGTAGCAATACAAAACCCGCCGTTGCGCCGCGTTGATGTCTACAAAAACCAGAGTTGTAATCAGGCCGTGGCGTGGCGTCGAGTGCATCGCTGTTATAAGTTCTGCTATATCTGGTGTTTTTTGACCATGTCTTCTACCGACACAGCTGATGAAGGGAGAACTACATTGAGTCCACCCAGGAAACGATCAAGACAAAACCATTTGAGCATCGAAGAGAAAGAAATTATTTTAAATGTTTACAAATGTGAAACGGAGGAAAAACCTGAGCTCAGCGTCAACGATGTTGTGCAGAGGGTGGCGAATAAAGTTGGAGTTTCTCGTGCATCGGTATTTAGAGTACTCAAAGAATATAAATTACGGAATGCATTTGCTGAACCTATAACGAATCAGAACAGTAAAAGCCAAATTAAAGAAATAGATGATGGTGACAGACATGCGATCAGAAGGAAGGTTCATGAATTCTTTTTCCAGAATGAAATTCCTACAATTGTTAAGATTTTGAAAGTAGTGAATGAAGACTCAGATTTGCCGAATTTTAGTAAAACGACGTTCTACAGGCTACTAAAGGAACTGAACTTCAATTGGCAGAAGAGAGGCCGAAACAGTTCATTGATGGATAGAGATAAAATTATACTATGGAGGAGAGAGTATTTGACAAAAATAAAAACATACAGGAGCCAAAACCGTAGAATTTACTTCCTGGACGAGACGTGGATAAATGCTGGCCATACAAAATCAAAAGTTTGGGTGGACCAAACAGTAACGTCAGCAAGAAGAGCGTTTTTAGATGGGCTTTCAACTGGGCTTAAAAACCCTACAGGTAATGCAGACATTCCATTTTAGAAAATCCAACAATAGTTATTAGATAATTTTTCATAGCCAAAGTGATTTAAATGAGGCATTACACGTTATCTGATATCTAGAAAAAACGAGGGGATGTTCACTATGGAAATCAATGTATTCTATGTTGGAATTCTTATGGTATCGATGACAAGATTTTTTACAGCAATGCGAGCGTTGCAGAGACAACATACCTTGTCCGTCACGGAATGTAACACGTTAATTAACAACGTCAGACATTGCGTTGATTTGTAAATTTTTCGATAAGTTTGCGACACTTGATAATTTTTTAGCTTAATTGATGTTGCCTGTTTCTTTTTGTTTTTTAAGCTAACCAACAATCAACAGATTAAATGATGCATTGGTTGAAGTGTCCGATATATCTCACCGCATGCATCCCGCTATCATGAGAAACAATATAGCATCGTATATAAAATACAGAAATGTGTCCCTATCTCCGTGGCCTCAGTACTCTTGTGAAAGACATATAATGTAGATCCGTATTTAACAAGTTTTATCTTTATAGGCAAAGGGAAAAGGCTCATTATTTGCCACATCGGGAGTGTAGATGGCTCCGTGAAGGAAGGACTATGGTGTTTTAAATCAAAAAAAAACCACTGACTACCACGAAGAGATGAATGGTGAAGCATTCGAAAACTGGTTTTTAGGCATTTTACCACGTCTTAAAGACAATTATGTGGTGGTCCTGGATAATGCTCCGTATCATTCTCGGAAATTAGAAAAAATTCCA